AGTTTTTGCGCTTCTTCAAGGAGGATTCGTGATGAGAAGTTGGCTAAAGCCAAGACGAGCAGAGTTAAAAAAATGGCGGCTTCCAGGATTATGTCGGCGGTTGCTTGGCGGTGTCGTAAGTGCGACGTGGGCGGCATCCTCGCGACTGCGATTTTAAATACGGGACGACATTGTTCTCGGTTTGGCAACGATCACCGGCCACTTGATACTTGCGACGCGCGAACATTTCTCGGCGAAGGTACGATGTGCAGAGGTCAGTACTCGAGACTTCTCTTGCCGAGGCGACGCAAGCGGACACGACCGATGAACCGCTCGCGACGCGTTATCATGTTTAAACATATCTAAAATAGTACGTTGAACCTAAAAACTTGTTTTTTCTAAAGTTACAGCGTTTCGTGTGTGAAATAAAAATTGGGACTGTATCTTAGTAACGTCGCAAGCGCCAGCTGCTTGGGCTTTTGCGTCGCGACGGAGAAACGCTATTCTAAAACTCTCTTGCGTCACGTGCGCTAATACAAGCGTTAAGCTTAGCGCTAGCGTGCGCTAAAATTCCGTACGTTATTCTAAAACCCCCTAATCTCAGCGTACGTTGGCCGAGAAGTCTCTACTACGCGAATTGCTGCGACGACTTTTTGGGGCGTGGCTATAGGCCTTTCATTCTGCAGGCGTTGGGGAGGGCAGCGTGACACAACCTCAGCGTTAGTTGACGGAGAAGGTTGGACTACGCGCATTGCTGCGACGATTTCTTCGCGGATGATATCCTGTAAGCCTGGTGGTTTGATGTTCCCAAGTTAGGTTCGAGCCGAACAGAGGGCCAGTTCCTCGTGTACTATTTCGCGTATAATTTGGCGCATGTTGTTAACACCAGCAGATGCCATCAATGTTGCCACGGTAGTAATGTCGGAAGCTTCTGGTTGCAATGCACGTTCAACCCGGCGCGTTTCGTCTTCCTGGGGCCTCAGACATTCCTCTGAGAAGCGGGCTACTGTTTCTTGTTAAACAACAACAGGTATTCTGGAGGCTTCTTCGTTGATGCCTTTGAGCAGGTGTTGAAGCTTGTCGCATTCCGTCTTGTCTTTGTTATTCAGGGTCCACAGATGGAGGATATTATCGATGTATGAAGTGTATGTCTCACCTGTCTGCTGGATTTGAAGTGGTAATTTTCTTTCCGTAACGTGCTCTGGGCTTGTTGGTTTACCAGAAACTTTCAAGGCGCGGTTCTTGAATGTTGGCCACGAGTGAACTTCGTTTCGTGGTTAATGAACCAAGTTCGCACGACGTCCGTTAAGTAGAAAACGACGTTAGCCAGTGTTATGGTGTCGTCCCACCGGTTGTGGCGGCTCGCCCTTTCGAACGACTCGATTCAGTCGTTTACGTCGTCTTCTCTTTCGCCAGCGAAAACGTTGGGTTTACATTGACGGGACGTAACGGTCGATGACGATGGACCGCTGCAGGTCTGGCTCGATGTTGAGACCATTCTGGGCCTTGGCTTGCGAAATGAAGGAGATGGTGGCGCGGAAGTCGTGATGAGAGGACGGCTTCGTAGTTCCAGGGTGATCAGGAAGGTCAATAGATCGGGGGTTGACTGCTAAGCTGTACGCCGCACCTCCACCATATATAAAGAAAACAATGTCGTGCTGCCGGGCGTGATGTTTACTGTCCCAGGCCCAGAGCTCAACTGCCCTGGTCTTGGAGCACGCACTCCCCGCTGGGCAGTTCACGCAGCAATAACGATAATGATGATGAAGATGGCGCCGTCCCCAGAAACGCCCTTACAAAATATCAAACAAATTACCATTAAACTAACATACAAGCAGGTTAATTTCCTCACAAAATAAAAAAAAAATAGTATCGCCCCGCAAGAATGCGAACATTTTTTTTTTACTGGTGCAGTAAAAAAATGTTCGCATCCTTGTGGGGCGATACTAATTTTGTTGTGTCGAAAGTAAGTCAGATAAACCAAGCCCAGAAGGCCTGTAAAAAAAGTAACGGCGTCCCTTCTTCTGGTGCTTTGAAACTTCTCACGCACGGTAAAGATACCAACAAAGAATAGACAAGGAGGACACCGAATGACACTGGTATCAAGCTATCTTAAAAAGCGCAATTTTCTTAGTACCCGTGCCTACCGAGGTCTGCGGATGCAGTTTATATCCCATTGCAAACCTATCCGCCGAGAAAGTGAGGGAGAGAAGACGAGTGCGCAAGGAGACGTCAGACCGCCGAGCTCTGAATGGAATGATTAGTGGGTAGACGTAAAGCTAGCTGCATTTGTCTCTTCGAAGGCGCTCGACCTCGAACGTGGAACGCTGAACGCCTGCGTTTATCAATCGAACGCCTTCGAAGTGAGCAGAGACGAAGGCAGTTAGCTTTACATCCCACGAATCATTCCAACAAGAGCTTGGCGTTCTGACGCCCCCACGAGCTCTCGTCTCATCCTCCGCTCATTTTCTCGTCGCATGACATATTTTAAGCCAGAGTTAGAGTGTCACAATAAAAAAAGTATCTTGAGCGTCTGCTTTCCCTCGAAGCAGCGAGGGATCCAGTCGCTGCAACCTTCGGAGAGAGCTCTGCGGAGAACGATGCCAAAAATATGGCTAGACCTCGATAAACATTCTGCGCATCGGCACTGGGCATGATGTTTTAATATGCTCAATGCCACAGCGCAGATAGAAAAACATAATTGTGTGGTATTTTAATATATCGAACAATTCGCCATATGGATAACTGTGTTCTATTATGCAACCGACACGTTCACTCCAGTCTCGTCCTTCCAGACTTCCAGGCGAGCCACACCATGTCTAGCGTCGCCGCGTTCTCCATCTGTACCGCTTTCTTTTAGGTTTTTTTTATTTATTTTTTTAAGTTTTCGACACTAGCAAAACCCTGTTGAAGCGTCTCGAAGTCCTCTCCCCTAGCTTTCCTTTTTTTTGGTCATTCTTTTATTACCATTTGCGTTGAGTTGTTTGGCCACCGGAGAATTCGATGCAAGTGTTTGGCAGCCGGTCAATTCCCTTTGACCGTGGCACGCTTCACATTTCAAGGCTAAACCGCAGTTAGCTTTAGTAAATATGCAAGTGAGCAATATTGGATAGAGCTGAATTTTAAATGTGCGATTCAGCAACGTAGGAGAGGATTTCCAACCTCTCCTACATGCACCGTTTCGCCATCACCACCACCATTTCCACCTTAATTCCTTTATTAAAGCTGAGAAAATGAGATTGAAGGATGTCCCGAAAAGGCGAAATTAGATAAAAGCAAAAACAAGCTTTTTTATTTTTTTTATTTTTTTTTGTCATTGTAGTCAAAAATTGTGAAATGGAAGAGCTAAAAAAGCTGCAGGTTTCGAGTCTCACTGGCCTATGAAAGAACGCCAAGCAGCCACAAAAACATATCTTGTAAAATATTATCGTACTGCACTTTAAGTAACGTGTTCAACGATTCATTTACTGATTAATGGAATGCTTTCATGAATAACATGCTGCCTCAGTACTTAGGCGCAATGAAAGTTTCTTCTAATTATGTTTGTAGATATGTATCGCCGCGTTTCAAATTCCTATTAATACTCCCAATGCTTCCTAAAGTACAAAATAATCTTTAAACAAATATTTACAACTTTCTTCTTGTTTTTCGCTGTTATTTGTGTGACAGTTCACCGATTGTTAAATGCATTGATTGCTAGATGTGGCTCGAGCGTTCTGAGTGAACATTTACGCTAAGGTGAAAAGTGGTAGGCATGAGTTTCAACGGCGCGTTGTTGCTGGTGGTAACACGGCGAAAGTGTTAAGGCACGTGGATAATTCTTGATGTAAGGCTTTAGAATACTGCAACAGTTATAATGAATATATATATATATATATATATATATATATATATATATATATATATATATATATATATATATATATATATGTGTGTGTGTGTTGTTGTTGCAATTATGAGGCCTTCTGCGACTGCAGCTTTTATATATACAAGTGGAGCGCAGCTTGCCCGGGAAGCCACGCCAAGCGCAGACATCACAGCAATGTGAACGCCACGATTTGTGCGTTCTTTAGTTATTTTTATCTTTTTTTACAGACGTAATAGCACCGGTACCTAGGTTACCATGGCAGCGCTGCGCAAAAGTGCAAGCGGGCTAGGACTCGCCGCACAACAGGAGGGTGAGCAGTATAGAGAAAGAGAAAGTTTCAAAGCCGTGGTCTTTGCAGGTGAGTCCGATTGAGGACCGTGATTTTCCGGATCTTTTCGTGTATTTGAGCACTGAATGTGCTATATGGCTGGCTCTTATAGCAGTGCGCTGTAACACACTTCCTTTAACAAAGAATGATTGGACACAAACGCTGTGTCAGCTCGTTCGCTTTGGACTCATAACTGATTGAGAACGCATCCTACCCAGACACATGAAGCAGCGCTCGTTTACAATTGGTGTCCCACTGAGCTGACTTCCAGTACGTGACATGGAAAATCTAGTACTCCAGATTTGTTCACAGAAAAATGCTGAGCGAGAGCGCGCGCCGCTGCGGTAGAAAAGTGTGCAAGAGGCGAGGGTAAAATGAACAAGCACGTGTTTCGGAGGAAACAGGGAGACGCAAAATAGCGCGATAAAAGCTGAGGTGTGTGACCGCAAGAGACGCGAACTTCGCCTACTACCGCTGCTGGTCCGTTAATATTGGCAGGGCTTTCTTTCAGAGACGCTACGCACGACGATGTTCCCTCCGTCGAGGCACCATGTTCGCACCAACTTCATCCCATGCTACATTAGCGCAAAGTCACACATAACGCATCCTGTGTCCCCACTGCCTTTGAAACGACAGCGAGTGAAAGGGATTATATTTTTCTAATCAGGATAAAATACCCACCACCTTTGTTTGCTTCGCACAAAAATCGTACAAACGATTATAAATTGAAAGAGCCACAGTTTTTTCTTTCTTTTCAAGACGTTGTTACGTTTTAATCTATAGACGTTCGCCTTATCATGGTACCTGAGATAAAACTGATTTTCAGGAAGGAGTTACTGTGACAGCTCCGTGCTGGCGAGCCGATCCACGTCCACCTCACTCCAGCGAAAACATAACATCGATTCAAAAGGACATGACAGGACAAGATGAAGACACCGAACGCTCTGTGGGGTCCATAGAAGGGTCATGGGAAGCCCGGCCGGGGCACGTCGTCAACGACACGGAAGTGGTCTTGAAGCCCTCAATTTCTGCGAAATTTCAGCGGGCGGTTTGGTGCGTTCCTTACTTATATCAACTCATCTGGATGTCGGCCCTGGTTTGTCTGATGGCTCCGTTTTTCCCGTCGCTTGTGAGTGAATTATTTTCAACTTATTTCATTGCGAGATAAAGCGGTTCATATCAACTACCAGTAATTAGCGCGATTATGAGACAGAGGCTGGCAGTGGAAAACCGGCTGATTCTTTTCTTCCGCGTGCTATTATTAAGGAGAAAGCCTTATATGTCTCATTGCTCAGTCGACCTTCAAATTCCTTGAGTGAAAACACGTCGGCGACATGAAAAGTGGCAAATAGTTTACGTGAACAGTCAGGCGATTTAGAGGCAATGAAATTCAGAAGGATGACAAAGCGAATTAAGAAAAATCAAAGTAAATTCGTAGACGTCGTCCATAAGGCGTCGTTCTCGACGTTGTTCTAAACGTCATCTTAGAAGTCGTCCTAGACGTCGTTTTTGAAGCCATCCCAGACGTCGTCCTCAAGGCGTCCTTCTCGACGTCGTCCTAAACGTCGTCCTTGACTGGCTTTTGCATCCCTACCAGCAGTCAGCCTTAAGTGTACTCCTGTAAATGTTTTTGACAGAAGGTCAAAAGTTAAATCGCGTGACGTATCTACGGTTTAAGAGGCTGCTAGGCAGCGTTTCTGTTTTCTGTTTTACTACTTTGGAGCTTAAAGTCGCCTTTAGTGTTGAACGTTGATGCGAACTCCGGCATCCTGGACACTGCGATCGATGTATGAAAATAGAAGCATGTTTCGGAATCGCTCCTTAATCAAATGTACCTCGACGTAAATATAGCGCTAAAATCTTCTTTTATCGCAGAAAGTTTATTTTAGAATATTGTCACGAATGAAGGTAACAAGAGGATTAACATTGAAGATCGTTCAAGACGTGATAACCTCATTATTCATGGTCTTCCCGATGTTGCGTCAGAAACATGGGCGGAAAGTGAAACAAAAGTTCTCGAGCTTATTTCCCGTTCCCTTCAGCTCCAGGTTACCCCAGATTGCATTGAGCGCGCACATCGAATCGGCTCCTTCAATCCTACCAGATGTCGCCCGCTAGTTATAAAGTTTTCTTCCTTTAAGGTCAAGGACAAGGTACTTTTCTCGCGACTAAAATTAAAAGGAAGCACGACGTATATCACCGAAGATTTTTCTCCAGCTACTCGAATTGCCAGAAAAAAACTAATTGAATTTGGTAAAGCTACGAATTGCATATATCAGCTGCGGTATAACAAGCTGCATGTCAACAAAAAGTGCTACATGTACAACGCGACTACTGATAATGTTTTTGAGTTCGGTTCCGCCCCCGATGTGCGCGCGAGAGATAACACAGAGATTGTTCCAACTAACCTAACATCTGCATCATCATAACGAGTTGCGAGGGGTGAGGGTCGTACTGATAAAAACAAACATTTGTCAGTACTTTTTTGTAATATAAGGAGTGTGTTGCGTCATAGGGATGACTTGTGCTCTGCTATAGACTCATCCAGTGCTGATATTGTGGTTTTAACCGAAACGTGGCTTTCCTCTTCTGTTAAAAATTCCGAAATATTTTGTTGTGAAAAAAGTTTCAAGGTTTATCGTTGCGATAGAGGTGAAAGGACTGGTGGCGGTGTGTTAATCGCAATTGCAAGTCATATTGAATCGTTTTGCGTGCGCCTGAATAGCGAATTGGAAATAACATGGGTTTGTTTGCATTTGAATAACCAGAAACTTATTTTGGGTGTATGCTATCGCCCGCCATCTAACAATCATTCCTTCGTTACCAGTCTTCATGACGCAATAAACTCATTAATAATACGCTTTCCTTCCGTTCCGATCATTCTTTTAGGTGACTTCAACTACCCAAATATAGTCTGGACTGGCTTGCATGCTTACAGTCACCCATTTTCATCAGACGCGACTGACTTCATAAACATGTGTAGCGATTTCAGCTTCAGTCAATTGATGACTCTTCCTACTAGAATTACCCATACAACAGCCAACATATTGGATCTAATTTTAACAACGTCATCTTCTTTAATATCTTCAATTAGCACCATGCAGGGCATAAGTGATCATTCATTAATACATTTTGTCATCGATGTTCCTGTTAGAAATGCTCCAAAGATTCAGAAAAAAATACGCGACTATGCTAAAGGTAACTTCGAGGCCATTAACAGTGAACTTTCTTTTTTTCTTGATGATTACTTGCCGCTCTTTTCGGAACGCTCAATTCAGGAAAATTGGGATTTATTTAAAACGCAGGTTGTGCATCTTACTAATACATATATACCTTTGCGCAATATTTCCGTTAACCCGCAATCACCATGGTTTAACACCACATTAAAAAGGCTTTCTAACAAGAAAAAACAAAAATTTCGAGCAGCTAAATTTTCAAATGTTGATTCTAAATGGTCTGCATACCATATTGCAGCCAATAATTATAAAAGTGCTATTGAAAATGCGAAGGCTACTTATTTTAATGTAACTCTACCATCACTTTTAACAAGCAACCCAAAGCAGTTTTGGAATGTAATTAATCGAAATGAAAAATCGTCAATATCATTGTTTAGTTCCTCTGGAAATGCTGTGCCTTTTAGTGAGTGTGCCCTTGTTTTGAACTCCGCCTTTGTGGCTTCATTTTCAGACGTTAACGTGTCATCTTTACCTCCATTTCAACATACTGGATTTGTTCCTATGTACCCGGTCGCTATTGATGCTTGTGGAATTGTTAATGTAATCGATAATTTAAAAATATCGTGTTCCGCGGGAGTAGATGATATTAATTCAAAATTCCTAAAAAGTACCAAAGAATATTCTTCAATAATACTTTCTAAACTATTTAATCAGTCTCTTAATTGTGGGTATTTGCCGGACGACTGGAAGGTGGGAAAGGTGGTGCCGATACACAAAACGGGTGATCAACATTCTCCTTCTAATTACCGTCCCATATCGCTAACAAGCATCCCATGCAAAATTCTTGAGCACGTCATTTTTTCACATTTAGTAAACTTTTTGGAGTCTAATAACTTCTTTTCTCCCGCCCAACACGGTTTTCGTAAGTCATTTTCGTGTGAAACCCAGCTACTAACCTTCACTAACGACCTTCACCTTATTCTTGATCGAAGTTCCCAAGCTGACTGCATATTCCTCGATTTCGCTAAAGCATTTGATAAGGTATCACATAGTCTACTACTTCATAAGCTAAGCAAACTCAGCATTGATTCCGCTACACTATCTTGGATTCACGCCTTCCTAACTAACCGGTCTCAGTTTGTATTTGCGAATGACACGTCTTCTCCTTCAGCTTCTGTGACGTCCGGAGTGCCGCAGGGGTCTGTACTGGGTCCTCTTCTTTTCCTTATATATGTCAATGACTTACCCTCCTGTGTTTCATCTTCGATTAGCTTGTTTGCTGACGACTGTGTTATATATCGTGAAGTGACTAACAAATCCGATGTTTCTTCTCTTCAGTGTGACCTTGACCGTGTATCTGAATGGTGTGACTTATGGCATATGCAGCTTAACACTAACAAATGTAAGGTAATAAGGGTTTCTCGGCTTCAGAGTGATGTCTCTTGTTATTACCTAAACCACACTCCTTTACAACAAGTAACAACCTACAAATATTTGGGGGTTCATATTTCATCCAATCTGTCCTGGGAAACTCATATTCAATACGTAACAAGTAACGCCAATCGTATGCTGGGTTTCATAAAACGAAATTTTTCAGCAGCTCCCTTATCACTTAAACTACTTCTTTACAAAACACTTGTTCGCACCAAACTAGAATATGCCTCTTCAATTTGGGACCCCGGTACTGACGTATTAACATCTGCAGTTGAAGCAATTCAAAATAGATCCGCCCGATTCATACTTACTAATTATCACCGCACTGCCAGCGTAACATCCATGAAATCAAGTTTGAACCTGCCTAATCTTGCATCGCGTAGAGAAGTTTTTCGTTTGTGCCTGTTTCACAAAATCTACTACCACAATCATACTTTGCGTGACAAGTTATTAGCACCTCCTTTTTACATATCACAGCGTCTTGATCACCGACACAAGATGGGCGTACCTTCATGTAACACTACTACTTTTCACAATTCATTCATACCCCGAACTACAGTGTTGTGGAACCACCTTCCAGCGTCTGTGGTATCAATATCTGACAGCGTTGCTTTCAAAAATTGCCTTAACAATGTTCACATTTCAGCGTTTCACTAATATGTACATATTGTTTTACATTCATAGGTTGTTATTCCTTGTATGTTGTTGAATTCTATTGATGTAACCCGCTCCCCTCTGTAATGCCTTCGGGCCTTGAGGGAACTTTTAAATAAATAAATAAATAAACAGTGAACTGAAAATAAAGGATTCATCGGTGAACTTGTTTCAAACAAAATAAAGAACGAGCGTCGGGACAGCAGAAAAGCGAGCGGCGATTTGGCGCCGTAACAGCAAGTGAGAGCGAGACTGACTTGGACAAGGTCGCGTGCAGCTCCTTATCTAGTGTGCGTCGCCATCGCAAAAATTCAACCCAGAAGGTTAGAGCATAGAGCGTTCGAGGTGAGTAGGAATAGGCACTTTCGAGAAAAAGGAACTCGGACAAAATGATTTAAGTTACGCCCCGAGTAGGAATAAACTCGAATCCCGTAGAGTTCCGTGACCCTGCGCTGCATGCTCGGTAATGCGCGCGGCAATATACTGGTCCTATCCGAGCAATTAAAAACGGTGCCGAGACCTTTCGGTAAAAGTGGGGGGATATGTATAAGCAGCAAACAAGTCCTAGTTTTATAACCAACACATACAGTGGTTAAGACAAGGCGCGTAAATAAAAGCATATTTCAGTTCCATGACGAAACGTGAAGCGTTTATTATGGCCTCTATACTTTTCCTCGCCGTATGATGTTTACGTTCGAAGCTACGGCAATCAGGTACAATTACAATGAAGGTGGACGTCACGGAGTAGCAAACGCACGTCAAAACAATATATCACGTGTTTTCTTACTGGCTCGTAATTTGACCATGGAGGCCCGTAGCATTATTTTCAGTGCATCACAAGGTGAGAGAAAGCGTACCTAGTCTACCTGAAAAGCCGAGTTTAATGGTTCATTACAACCGCGATCCCGATTGTATTTATGTAGGCATCATTGAAACATATAGATAACATAACTTAACAAAAGTATATGAGCTGTTCTTACGATATTTTTTTTACTTTTGTGACTGCTTCATTGAACGCATAAGTTAAAGGACACATGCAAAGGAAAAAAACATTTTTTTTTGACAGCTTAGATGGAAAAAGGATGTCATAAAATGATTTTACAACGAAGAAAAAATTTTTTAGAGCTATATTTACGGCGCTATACGAATTTGTAGTTGGCGCTCGCGGGAGCCGCCGCTGGTCACGTGGTAGGCCCGCGCGCCGCCGCGCTGCGTCGCCGCCGCACGCTGAGCGTTGTGCGAACGCCGCTTCAACGCGTTTCTCCACGCCGCCGTCGCCCCCGCCGCACAAGTTCGTCTGCTTCGGGGCGCCGCCGCCGTCGTCTGACCGGCGCACAGGTCTATCACGTCTGCTTGCGCTTTTTCAGGAGTTTCCTTTGGGCTCTAAAAGTTACTTATTCGTCTTGGTTTTTTGTTATACTCGAAAAAAAGATGAATAAGTTACTTTTAGAGGCCATAGGAAGCTTCCGAAAGAGCGCAAGCACCACGTGATAAATAAAGACCAGTCACGTGATAAATACGGACCACTTTTCCGCGGTGCCCGCGGGCGCCAACTACAAATTCGTTTTGCGCCGTAAATATAGCTCTAAAATTTTTTTTTCTTCGTTGTAAAATCGTTTTATGGCGTCCTTTTTCCATCTAAGCCGTTTAAAAAAAATGTTTTTTTCCTTTGCATGTGTCCTTTAAGGCATAACGGTTACGACATTTTAAATGTCCAGTCGTTAAAAGATACATTTCGTTAAGATTTGACGCGTTTCCACTGACTATTTTAGACCAGAGGTGTGCAAATAGGGATTCGAATCCAGCAGCAGCAGCAGCAGCAGCAGCAGCAGCAGCAGCACCAACACTGCTGGTTTTCGTGTGTTCTTTTTTTTTTTTTTTGCCCTGTGAAATTTCTGAATGACGCAGCGGTATTTGATTTAAATCATTATTCGCACCATCACTAATTGAAACTTCGCTTTAGAGTAGTCAGACTAATTTTTTTTTAGAACCTCTTCAACGTCCTATCGAATGACTTTGTGGGTTCTGATTATATGAGGCTCTGTGGCCTCCTCCAAGCGTTCATTTGCTCAACTAAGTACAATAAAAAAAGTTTTTTTGTTTTTTTTTACGTAAATTAGGTTCCGAGTGTCTGCTACAGATATAACAAAATAGATTTCTTGTGATCTTCAGTCTTGGACTTCCGTCCTACCTTTATGGTCATTCCAGTATCTGCGCCCTTGTTGACGCCATGACTATGTTAGCACTGTAGACGCGTTCGCCAATGAAATTGGCTAGCCGTCTACGACATGATTCAGCAGCAAGAATGAAAAGACGCTCTGAAAGCAGACACCCGAATATTTTTGTCCGTTTTCGCTTGCATGATCATGTATCTCTAACGGCTTTACGGATTATTATTTTCTCTGGTATTTTCGGGTAGGGGCCTGAAACAAAAACACTATATTGACAACTTTGGGGGACAATTGTAACATAATCTTTACAATGTTGTGAATATAAGAGAGGAAAAACCTTCGGAGCCTCTTTAGACGCACGAAGAAAGACACACCCTCTTAGCCAGTTATTAATCCGTTGGACAGCTCAAAACAAAAGGACACCACAAAAAAAGAACAAAAAAACAAAGAGGCAAACTTTTTACGGGATCAAATATATATGTTTTGGCCCGAAATGACAGCGAATTTCTGCTTCGAAATAATTTGGACCTGCAACAATTTAAGCGAAGTTTCCAAACGCCTGAGCTTTAAAAGCAAAAATCGTGACTAGCTAAGACGATGCAAAAACTTGACGAGAAACATCTGGCGAACCTTGAGTCTGGCAGCCGAAGTGTCGGAAACAGACTTCGCAAACAACATAGGCTGCCATCCCGAGGATAAAAAAAAAACGTTTTCTTTCCTCGCACAAGTTTGTGAATATTTTTTTAAACAATTCTCAGTAAGCCGTACCTTGGATTTCAGGCCACTTCAAGAGGCGTCAAAATCTGGGAGTACGGCATGGTGTTGTCGGCCTTCAAGCTAGCCATTCTACCGGGAAGTTTGCTTGGTGAAAAATTTGTACGCACAGAGAGAGCTTTGCATTCAACGTTTCTCGCTTAGGCGAATGCAGTGATTGTGGTCTTTTGCAGATTACAGGAACGTCACCCAGAGCGGCGTATGTGACTTCTGTGACAAGCATGAGCGTGTTCTGCCTCTTATTTGGGTGAGAAACCGAGTGAGACAACCCTTATGTACATCGTTTTCTTAGTATACTTTCCCATTAAGATTTCGTTTTTAAGCTATATGGGGGGAATTTGATCTCATCGAATTTGTGTCTTCATTCACATGCAAGCTGCGGCCGTAAGGACAAACACAGTTGGCGCGCCTTGGAAAATTCGAATTTCAAAAGTACATGCCTGAAATTCGCCACGCGAAAACAGTTTCGCAAGAAATTGTGTATCTATTTTTAAGGCTTAATTCTGAGGTGAAATATTAAAACTAAAGCAAAATAGGAGGCCGTGTATTTACTATGTCTTATACCAACCCACTAGCCGTCTGGACACACTGGCTTATAAGCTCGCTCCCGGGTTACTTGCTGAATGCAAAAACGCTAAACACCAATGGCAGGGGCTGGCGATGAGCGAGATAATCGCCATAATTAATACTTTTCACCAAAAATATGAACAATGACCACTTGGGAGCAAGCTCACAAACCACTGTGCAGACAACGAACATCGGTATGGGGCATAAAAACTGCACAGCCGCCATTTTTGAAGCCATAAGTTTAAGAAGCTCGTTGTGCAGAAAATCCGGTATCGGCGTCGGTGTCGGCGTTGGTGTCGATGTCGCCGTTGGTGGGCCGGAATATTCCTGATTGGTCCATAAACAATTTATTTGCCTCAAGGGAAAAAAAGGAATATTGGGTGGAGCGGGATTGAACCCACGACATTTCGGTTGCGAGCCCGACTTGAGCTCTGAAAAAATAGACATAAATCTTCTTGAGAAACTGCGTTCGTGTTACCAATTTTAGGTATTTACATTTGGAATTTCAGTTTTGCAAGGCAAGCTAAATATGTTAGTTTTTGTGGCCGCATTCTGTATCCCTTCTAGACCTCTTGTTTAGAGTACCATCAATACATCGACTTGAACATCTTCGTCGATTACACTTAAACGACTGTATAATGCCTGCATTATTTTATCTTTCCCATATGCTGTCTCTGACAATAATTTCTTTAAATATGACTCTTTGACTAAATATCGACTAAACGATATTGTAGAGAGGCACGTAGCCAGGGGGAGGGGGGGGGGCATGCCCCCCCCCCCTCTTTGAAATCTTTAATTTTGCTGGGGTCCTCCTCTCCACCCTCCCCTTCATACAGCATTTTGTCATGGGCGGGCCCCTCCGAATCAACATTTTGTCTACGTGCCTGATTTTAGAATTATATCACTGGAATACATTTTATTCTTGAACCCTACTCTCTATGTATTGCTTCTGAAGTTTACTATACTCATTATAACTTCTCGTTTCCTGAACGTGTTTGTTAAACTTACAAGCTATGTTCGCGTTGAGTCCAACATGTATCTAGTTTTATGTTTTAATTAGATCACTGTTCAATCTAGCTATGCCTCCAAAACATTTTAAATGTTTTAGATCGTTGTACTGGGTGAATTCTGCCAAACTCTTTCTGGGACTCGCCATACTCATTTCCGCTTTTGGTGGAGGAATGAAGGCAATTTTCGTCACAACTAGTCGAACGATTCTTACCTCCACGAGCCACAAAAACCGAAGCCTTTTTGTTGTAAGTTGATTTCTATATGTACCTTACGAATACTGTTCAATGTCTGAAGGCCCCGCTCTGAAAGAAAAAAAACTATGAATTTATTTCTCAGTAGTACACGGAGACAGCTAATCGCGGTGAACAAAACAAGAACCCTAACGATTGACAATGATTATAATACGATTAGATTTGAAAACATGTGATGTTGTTCGGCATAATGTTTCCCATGCTCGTTGTTCTCTGCGCACATGTTTTTATTTTCATATATTTTCAAATTCTGAGCTTTATGATTTCATGGTATCATATACTATTACTCACTGTAATTCGCTTTCTCCGCGTTTTGCCGGATAGTGAAGTCCCAGAAATTTATTTTAGCAGATAGCTTTCGCCACTGACACCTTAGAAAACTCAGCGTGTGACTTAGTATGGTCACCCTTGCTGCTTTTTGACACGTTCTTCGGCATTCTTATCGGCTAATGACAGACTCTCACTGGCTGCGAAGTGGCAATTATCGATGATCGGGACTCGTTACGCCCTTTGCTTCTTAAGATATCAGTGACTATACGGAGAGCAAGTGTTTCAAAAACGCATATTTAGCGCATCGGAAAGTAAGCATGGTCACTCCAATCAAAGGGCAAATATAGGGCGTCTGAATTACCGAGGCTGCATCTAAAACGGGCCATAAAAATTGTCGCCTGCACGTAGCAATCTAAACTTTTTGTTAAAGTTGGAATTTAACAACTTGGTTTTACCTTAAAATATTACAAAGCGTAGCTTCCTTTCTGAAGAAAATAGGGCCAAATAACTTGCTAGGGTCAACGGCGGACGGCGACGCAGACGACCGAGTTGAGTGGTGGGGCGCGTTTAGCGCACGTATTGATAGATGGCGTCGGGATCAGAGTAGGAAGGTGTAGCCGACCAGCGAAAGAAAGCAGAAGGTGCGTAAACGAAACCCGTCGGCAGCAAGAGCGCCGTCGTTATGCACCAGCGTTTTCTTTTATTTTCTGTTACTTCCAATTTTGCTATCATTGTCCTGATTTCTTTCCTAAACAAACTTGTACATTGCAAGAGAATTATGTTCATTTTAATAGACCACGGTCGTCTGCGTCGCTGTCTGCCATTGACCCTGGAAAGCTTTTTGGACCTATTTTTTACAGAAAGGGAGCTACGCTTTGCAATTTTACAGGGTAAAGCCCACCTGCGAAATTTACCTTCGGCGAAAATTTTATCATGCTACGTGCAGGTGCCGATTATTACGATCTATTTTAGGTTCAGCCTCAGTATTTCAGACACCCTTTAGAAAGCGCCTAGAGAACGCTCGACGACGAGGCAGTCAAGCGCGCGCCGTCATTGGTTGAGGTCGGGGGAAAGAAAAGTACGTGGGCGCATGTGGAGGTTAAACAAGCGCACGAGGTACGCGAAGAGCACACGAACTTGCGCGCAGTACAGCATATTAAAAACACCGGTGTGCTTTCGCATATATTTCTAGTTTGCCGATTCACAACACCGGTTTCGTTTCCGGGACAATACGGCTGAGAAAGATGCCGAAGCTTCGAAGCTCTACCGCACCTAGCTCAAAGGCAGAACACTTTTTTTTTTTTTTTTTCATAAAATGTTTAACTAAAAAATAACATTCGTTTTCTTTTACTTTTTTTTTTTGCAGGAGACGATATTCGCATTTGTATATTCGCAGGCTTTGCATGGTATTTATTTTCTTCAACATTTGCCCAAAATGAGCTATATATTTTAAGATCAACCAGTAGATGCGAATATTGTTAGAAGGTGCCATCATTTCTCAACCCCTAGCGCTACGTTCAAGGGGAAGCTCAGTTTTCTGAGGTTTTAAATGTACCTCTGCAAAACAAAAACAAAACAAAAGTAGTTCGCTTTTTCTTTTTTGTTTTTTACGGACGTTTTGTGTATTTATGTGTATTTGGAGATATGCTATTCAGGCAAATCCTGCTTCCCTCACTTTTTTTTAAGCATTAGATGTTTTTTTACGGAACCCCCAATTGCAATATTTTGAATGTCCGTCCGTCCATCCGTGCTTTTTCTGTTAAATTTAGCGGGAAACTAAATTTGTGTTTAGGGAATACGACGTAAATTGATGTCACTTGAGCCGACATCCCGTGATCTATACACAGATTAAGTTTCCCCGCTAAATTTAGCAGAAAAATTCATGTCGCGTTACCGGCCGAAACGTTACCAATACTCAAATTCAGTTTAATTCAGTGTATATGCTATTTTTTGCGGGTAAAGTGACGTCACATTTCCTGACGTTCAAGTGATCTATATATATATCTATATATATACATATATATATATTCAGTTTCCCCGCTATATTCAGCGCGAAAATTGATGTCACGTCACATAACCCATGTGCCGACTAAGTTTCCCGGCTAAATTTAGCGTCTCCACTCAAAGTATTGGGGAATTCGACTAAAATAAAGAAACGGCGCTTTAATGTCCCCGAAATGGTGCTTTAATGTCTTCTAAATAATTCTAAACGATCACTCCTAAAATACTGCATTTCATCCATTGTGAGACTTTGTAAATACCGGTCGCTGCAATTTTTTTTTAATTTTTGTCCAGAAGACACACGATACAAATGGTTGCGTAGGACAGACGTCGGCATTTTAGGTCGCCCTCACTCACCCTCACCCCCACAGCCACACTCACCTAAGCCCCTCGCTCACCCTCACCCTCACAGCTACACTCACCTTCAGCCCCTCACTCACCCTCATTCTCACATTCACACTCACCCTCAGCCACTCACCCTCACTCAACCTCACGGCCTTCACGCCCCTCACTCATTATTTGCTGTCATCATCATGAAATTTTATTTTTCTTGCACTATTTAGACACACAATTACGCGCTATAAACGTGTTTTTGTGCATTTAAATATCGTTGAGAATACTAATGCATCTTTCTGAAACAGTGTATTTCCAAAAAAAAAAAATTTTTAAACCAGAACCAAGTCCTTTGTTGTCATCATCACCGGCACGAGGTATCACGTGAAAATATCGCGTCCCTGATTGGATACAGCCGCTTCAGACGTCTTCGAATTGCTCCGAGTTGCTCGTTTGTTTCGAGCCGGACCCGATCTCAGCAATTCGTGTCCGCCTAGAAAAAGCTAGGGAACAACTCACCAGCAACACCAAAATTGCTGAAAAAGTTGCTCCGTCTGAAGAGGACCTCACGCACTCACCGCCCTCACGCCCCTCACGCATTCATGGCCCTCACGTCACTCACACACTCACCGCCCTCACGGCCCTCACACGCTCACGCACTCATGACCCTCACACCCCTCACGCACTCACCGCCCTCACGGCCCTCATACCCTCACGCACTCATGGCCCTCACGCTCCACACGCATTCATGGCCCTCACGTCACTCACACACTCACCGCCCTCACGGCCCTCACACGCTCACGCACTCATGACCCTCACACCCCTCACGCACTCACCGCCCTCACGGCCCTCATACCCTCACGCACTCACCGCCCTCACGCCCCTCACGCATTCATGGCCCTCACGTCACTCACACACTCACCGCCCTCACGGCCCTCACACCCGCACGCACTCGTGACCCTCACGCACTCACCGCCCTCACGGCCCTCATACCTTCACGCACTCATGGCCCTCACGCCACTCACCGTCCTCACGCCACTCACCGCCCTCACGCCCCTCACGCACTCATGGCTCTCACACCCCACACGCCCCTCACGCACTCACCGCCCTCACGGCCCTCACTCATCCTCACACTCACGAATTTTACTGATTCAGAAACTCACTCACCCTCACCTCAGCTGTGAAGGTGAGGGTGAGTGAGGGTGAGTGAGGGCCCTCATGAGTGAGGTTTGCCGAGGTATGGCGTAGGATTAAGCCTTTGTTGCATACTTCAAAAACATCCTTGCAAATCATAAAATTTTGCGTTTTTGCAACCATTGGTATTGAGTTGAGACCGAGGATTTCTTTTTCTTAACTTTCAGGAATTTGGTTTATTAATTACAGAACATCCACTACAGTGGACAGCATGCACTGGGGGAACAAGATCCCTTTCGTCAAATGACCATAACTTTGGGTTTTCTTTTTGAACTCGACGTCTTTATCTTGGTGGCGAAAAAAATCTGTAGTTAAATTCTTTTGAATTTTTGTTGAAAATTTTCTGGAGTTGTATTGAATTTCTTTTTAAACTTTTTTTTAATGTTTTTTAGACTTTGTTTTGACAACTCATTTAACTCCTAGTTAAAATTGGCCACTTAAAGTTCTTAGAATTCCTTCTTACATACATTCTTTAGAATTCCTTCTTACATAAATTTTGTTGAATTCCCTTTGACGGAACCGCAGATTAACGTTAAAAAAAACACTCAATCTTCTAGATATATTTTTGACTTTCGTTAGGAAATTGTCCTTTTTGGCACATACACATCCCACAAATAAGGAATGTAAACAAGCACAAACAACGTTAAGCACTCAACACCAGAAACACAGTCCTGTTGACAGCACCAGAGCCTTATATAGCCTACATATTGAAGATAATCATTTGGCCGGTGACCACCTCAGCACTTACTAAGTTTCCAAGTCTCCGGTCTCCTTCTCGAAAGTCTGTCAAAGGGAAAACAGTGTTTCGAAGTTCGTAGACTCTATCTCTTACTAAAAAGCATTGGTACAACTAATAATAATTTCGCGTAGTCGCTAAAACAACATCCACAAAAACGGCTCATAGAACGAATGTTATCGCTTCTCTGCATAGCACCAATCAGGACGAAGCCAGTCAAGGCGGTCGCTCCAGTTTAAAATAGTTATTTTGCTCTTCCTTGAATAGGGTCAATCATGCCATGATAGTCATTTACAAAGTGAGAACGGCTGGGCATGTTTGTCGAACGCCTGGCCTCCAGCACGCGCCCCATGCCTTCCGTCGTGCATTGACTGCGCAGTCGAGCTCGAGGGGCGCGAGACGTCGAAGAGTTGTCAAGGATAGAAGGCTCGCGCTGGAGGCAGTAGAACGGAAGCTCCTCCCTACGGTTCTCAACTTGTCAGAGACTATTGAGAAACTTAGTGACTTTTGACATTTAGTCAAGATGTATTATGTTCAATAAAAAGTCAGCAGAAAGTCTGTAGCTTTTCTTTTGACACTGGCTACAGAAAGTCAACTGAATAATTTGAACACGAAGTAAACAGAACGTCTGTGGTATTTCTGATAACACTTTCAACAGGAAGTCAACAGAAAAAGATCCAACGTAGAGTTAATAGAAAGTCAATAGCTTTTCTTTTGACTCAGGCAGAAGAAAATCATAAAACAAGTTTCAGCACAGAATCAACAAACTTTCTGTTGACTATGTCAACAGGAAGTCAGTCAAAAGAAAGTAATCAGAGTGAACAAGAAATCAACACATTTCAATAAAAAGTAAAAAAAAAAAAACATCCGTCATATCGGACCCCGCACACGACCGCAGACCAAATAAAATAATAAAAAAATGTCTCTTTTTATAAAATAATATAAATAAATAATGTCAATAAGCTTTCTTTTTATTTTCTAGAAAATAACCTACAAAAACACGATAAATAAGTCTACAAAACAAAATCTATTGTTTTTCCTTTTGAATTTTTTTTAGAAAATAACCTACGGAAAAACGTCTTTACAAGTTCTTTTTAATTTTTTTATAAATAAGTCTACAAAAAATTCGATATTTTTTCTTTTGAAAGTTTTTTGACAATAGTCGAAACAGAGTGCGTTTATAAAGAAATTCAGTAGGATCGCGGAAAGTCAATAAGAAGTCCAAAGAAATTAACAAGAATGTTGAGACCCGTTCTTGTAAGGGCAGGTTTATATGTAGCGATCATCTTCATCACTGTCATCACTTTGGCTGGCATCCGCTGGCATCTTCTGAGCTATTATCACACCTGCCTTGATCATTATCCTTTACGGCATAATTGATGTCATCAACTCGCTCTCTAAAGATCATCACCACTTCTTGACGGCAGACCGTCTTTAAGTAGGACATTGATTTCTGAGTCAGATAGTGGAATATCCAATAAAGCGTCGATGTCTGTTCCCCTCAAGGGCAATTTAGTAGCAGAGTGTTTGCCCATAAAAAAAATAATATAGTATTTATTTTTTGGAATATGTAGAATTATGGCACCTTATTCATTCCAACAGAAACTTGGACCATTCCAGTGTATTTACAGCGCTGCTGACCAAAAAGAAAAACAATTTGTGCGTAGCACACAGCCCCATAATACTGCTGTTCATGGTGTCCACAAGAGTGGACAAGCCACAAATAGATAAATTACTGATCAATGGAGACTTATTTAACAGTCATATTTATATAGATTACACCTCAAGACTTCCTCGAAGGCATGGAAATGTTTAACAGAGGAGTAATAAGCTTTTGCAACAGTTTACGACGCTTTTGCTAGGATGCGCGTGCCTTACCAGGAATTTGTGGAAGTAGCCGCCTTGGCCGCTGAATATATCAACACCAGTGGAATGGTGGCGCCATGTATGAGTATCGAAAACACATACGTCCACTGAAGTGGACATCATCCGTACAGGTATTATACGGCCTGGCATTTTATTTAAAAATTAAATAACTTTGTCCACTGGACACTATGCAACAAAGGGTTTTCAAACCGGTCTGTTTTTGCACTGACACTTTCCTTTCAAATTTCTTAGGGCTTGCTCGAAGCGGCGTCAGGATTAGGAAACATTTGCGGTCAGCTCGCTGGCGGTGTCGTCACTGATGTAGGTCTAACAAAATAACGATATTCGTTTTTTTTTTTTTTGGCCAAGACACATCTTTACGTAAACTTGATATCTTTGCTTTCACAGTTGTGGAAATTACCAACGTCCTACTACGCGTGCGGTATAGGTCTCCTCTTAGCACTGCCATTTATAACGGAACCGCATGAAGTCACTGAACGGAACAATGTCGAATCCCCTGCCTCATCTATTGACAGCAGCGACCAAGGGCGTCACGAAGGTAATAAGGGTAGCCTAATATTTTTCGTTTCGTTTTACGTAAAAGTTACTACTTACATGTGAGTTGGGATTATCACTCATAAAGGGGGGTTCTACCAATGACAAAAAAAAAAAATTCAAATTAACATGTCGCGGAGCTGCTGCCAGAGGCACTTAATTGAAGATTGAGTACTGACTCGTTCGTGTTAAAGGTCAGCCAATTAAAAACAAAATAAATAAACGGTGTGTGTTTTAAACGCGTCTCGTTTTATCTGTGCTGCGTGCGACTTGCGAGGGTGCTAAATTAAAATAAAATAAACAGCTTGTCAGTTATTGAGTGTCAGCGATACATAGAACGAAAAACAGTTATAATACGGTGGTCCCGTAAGTCAACCCGGTCTTTAAGTGTTTCAATCCTAGACTTAAAATGGTTAAACAGTATGAGGTAAGTCTGCCTTGATGTGCCCACACTGGTTCACAGGAGATTTACGTTAACCTAGAATACCTATAAAATTTCCATGTAAAATAAATCTCAGAAACGTTTAGTCTGCACAAAAGGCGGAAATCAAAGAATATGAAGCCAAGACTTACACGCCATTTCGTTGCGTGCTTCAGGCCTCACTACTGCGTATCAAAATGATCAAGGCATTTTTTGCGCCTGACATCCCATTGAACCACCCCAAACTACATAATACTAAACTATGACTGACAGCGATCCTTTACAGCAGGGTAGGGGGTATATAAATGCTTGGTTAAAGATTGCTGGGTCATTGGGAATTAAAAAAAAATAGCCTGGACGAAGGAAGCTTCACGCACAACGCTGACATGCGTTTAACTTATTTAAGTGGTTAAAGTTTGAAGCGTCAGGTAATTTATTGTCATAAATATCACTACTTAAAGTTTAAAACTGTGATACAAACATGTGTCATTTTTTTATTTTATAAACTCCATGCCAAATTCAGAAAACGACTCTTCGCTTCCCAACATCGGAGACAGCATCAATTATTACAAGCTTCTGATTGACCCCATGTTTCTCGTGAACATGGCAAATATTTCACTGGTTTGGGTCATCGACAGCTACAACGACACCACTCTAGAACCCTATCTTTCTCAGGTACTGAATGTTATGTATATATTAAATCCTAAACACACCGGTAACGCAAAAAAGTTATATTCAAAATATCGCAAATTTTCTTCTTGCGAACGAAGCTTTTGAAAAGGTCAATTGGTAACTTATATTTTAGATAAAAAAAACTTACCAAGAAACTGTATTTTAGTAGAACTTTTTCTGCCACTTTGATGCTTTCCAAAAGTTTTCTTGCAAAATATTCCTACCAGCTTTGACAGCTTTCCTGTTCGTTCAAAAACTTCACTCTTGTTCAAAACGGTATATCTATTTCTTTCAGTTCAATTCAACGAATGAAAACGTAGGAGCCGTATTTACCTGTAATTCAGGTGGGTATTCTCTAGCGTCCTTGCTTGCAGGATTCTTGGCATCACACGAGGTAAGCCCACTTCTAATTTTAAGCAATTACTTTTTTCTTAATAATTATGTCCACACTGCTAGTGCTTCGTTGCCATTAAACATATTTAAGAAAAAGTAAAAATAAATATATCTCATAAAAAGAAGACGTCGTTCATTGTCCAGGTAGTTTTACTGCCTAAATATTCCAGAAGAAAAAAAATTTGGAGCGCAAGGGAACGCTTGACTTTCGCTCAATTATAAAAAAACAAAAACACGGAAACCTCTAAATGAAATATTAAATTTACTTTGGCACATAATTGTGCTGGTTCGTTAATGTATTAAATTTGACATTGTTGCTCCCAATTCTAAGCGAATGTTTCACCCTGCAATTAAACGTCAGCGTGAGATTCATTCCCTGTTTTACGATGAAATGTTGTAAGAGTCTCGTTTGATACACAAATCGTACTGACGTCCAACAATCTAACGCCCGTTACGACCACAATCTTCAAAGTTTCTTAAGTGAACAATCTTTAACGCCAATGGTATTGAGGTCGTAGTATACCGGCAGTGATCAAGTGGCCGTCGCCGACGCCGCAGGTTAAACGATTTTGTTTTTCCATTCTACTGACCATTGAAGCAGAGATGTAAAAGATGACGTTTCCCCTGCCTGTCGACACTCGGTTATTTAAACTCATTCCCTTCCCTTTATCATACAGGGACTGTAGTTCGACTTTTAAAATTGTCTCAGAATGTCCGGTATTTAATAAGCTGAATTAAGTTAAGTTGCTGATCAAATTTCAGCCTTTTTCATACACATGACAGACATTACGGCATATCAGCAGCAAACGAATGGGGACTCAAATCTGCATAGGCGGATGATTTCTTCCCATACTTCCCATGAGGTAAACTAGGGGAATATAAGCAAAATTTTGTGTATAAAATCAACTGTGTTGCAAACATGTATTCAATTAAGTTAGTTTTCTTTTATTGGGCGCAAAAACAGATGGAGACAACAACCATATTTGCGGGCTATATCCTGAGTGCCCTGGCATTCTTGCTCGTAGGGCCTGCACCGTTTCTGCCATTCCAACCGTAGGTGTCCAAGCAAAATGCGTAATATTTGATTATATTAAACACTTACAAATTTTATTTAAATCATAAACCACAATGGTACTTCGATAAATAAAAGCGAAGAAATACTAATGCAATATTTAGAATGCTAGTACTTTATCATTATTTGAAAACTTTTTTTTAATATTTAGTGCTCTGTCGGAATGACCACTTTAGCAGTCGCATATTCAATATAGTATATAACCGACTCTGTGGTGTCCGCAAAAGCGACTTTTATCGGTTTTTAAACGATAAATTAAAGTAATCTTTGAGATAGGCAGGCACAGGTTATTTTGTTGTGTAAATGTATTTAATACTAGGGGTTTGTGGATTATCCTGGTGGTACTAACAACTTAAGCACTTGTTAAATAAACGGCAGAATGTATCTTGCCACTAGCATCACCTTTTCTCCTTTCTTGAACGTCTACTACGTAATTATGGGCATGACGCAATGAAACTCGATACACGCCAACTTCTACAAATTCGCTTATCTAACCGCTCATCCTCCTTTGATAAAAATATTACATAAAGTGTGGTCTGAATTTTAAACTTCAAAGCAGAATATTCCAGATTGCAAGTACTTGATATAAAGTAATAACGAGGATAAAGGAATAATAACGTATTACTCTTCTCTTTTGGCCGGCCAAAACAACAAATTAATTACAACTCACAGCAACAGATTATTGACAAGAATACACAGGGTATTTACATGAAACACTGCGATATATTTATGCAAAAAGGCGCGCCGTTTTGTGTTCACCAGAGTAAAGTTGTCTCCTAAGATTCAATCTGACATACATTTTCGGCGCTTGGTCTTGCCCCTTCTTTTTTCCTTTCTGTTCTTTCTTTTTTGCGCTGTTTTCACCGTGGACCCTAAAAATACTTGCCCAAACATAAATTCTAGTAAGGTAAATTGCCCATTGTGGTAGAGGAGCCTGTACGACGGAAGCTTTATTAAATAGTACACGTGTGAGGACAACCTATCGTAGGTAGCGCCTTACCTACTTTCTATTCTAAGATAACGGTTCTAAATGTTTCATCGCTAGACTACTGTGATGCATAGTTCCACGAGGCCCCATAAGCGTATAGTTCTCCGGCCAACAAAAATAAGTGTATGTAAAAAATACATGCAATCAGAACTTTTATTAATAATAAACTTTCTCTTCCTCACACTGCTTATGAAAACACAATGAAAAAATTAAAAAAGTTTACAACTTCCAGTAACGCCAATTTAGAGCGCAGTTTTTGAGGAGGAGGAGGAGAGGGTACTGATGGGAGCGTATGACCCTCTTCTTCATCCGTACCCTCCCCTCCTCCCCTCCCCCTTTCAAGCGTGAAATGCGCGTCGTCACGCGCCGTTTCAGCACGGTGCACTTTGGGACGTTACCCATAATACACCGCGCGTTTACGCCGACGCCAACTCCGACGGTGACGCCGCTCAAGCCGAAAACGGGCACCTAAGAGCTGTGCTCTAAAAAAAAAAAAAGAGTAATAATGTTAAAGTAAAACTTGAATCTTCCGCATAGGGTAAGATTACAGCTTTGTTTTATATATTTTAGAAGCGTGGCACTTATCAGCGCTGGACAGTTGCTGATGGGAAGCGGCATGGCATTTATATTTGTCGGATTCTTCACACTCTCACTCAAAGATGTCATGCAAGTATCGTTCCTATACGGTTTACAGGCTAAAACCGTGTTAATCTCTTCTTTCTGTTTAATTTGACCGCTCCTTGCTACATCGTGCTAGAAAAAGAACCTGTGCCGGCGTCCTCTCAAACGTTTACACGGTTTTTCTCTTTTACAGAGAGAGGGCAGGCTACCCAGACAATGACAGGACCAAAGTATTTGTCTACAGTTTCGTCAGCGTATTTTTGCTCATAGGGTAAAGTAGTTTTCACTAACTTTCAGAACCGAAACCTGGAGAATTACACAGGATGTTTTACCAAACACCGGTGTCGGGTCAAGCATCTTTGTGTGAAAACTACGCATCGCTGTAGAATATAATTGTTACCGGTTTAGTGACTGCAAAGGGCCTAATTATCTACACTGCTCGGCACAGCACTACACGACATCAGCGTTTGTTCCTTTCACTTTTGTTTTCGTATTTTATTCATCTAGAGTATTGGCGAGCTTAATATTTAACCAGATAAATGGGGTGCCCGGAGCGGGTACTTTTCCATACACGGGTTGATTATAGCATTTCAATTCCACGAAAATAAAATTTAAAAACACGGCGATTGCTTGCATGATCACGCTAGCCGTGTCTGTACGTAGTCTGTACTCTGTACACAGTGTTCAGGGTAATTAGGTTACTAATTAGTTTATAACAATTACCTTTTTAGTTAGTACAAAGCATACTTTCAATTGCGAACTTGCTTGGCATCATGAGAAATAACTAAATAAGTCAATTTGAGAACAGTTTGGAGAACGGGCTTCACTTTTGGGGGTCTTGAGAATGCATCCGACTTCGACGCTCCCGCTCGGTTTTTGGTATGTTTCTTTGTTTCTTACCACCCACATTTTCGCCCCGTGATCTTCGCGCATATTGCACGAACGGTAATTCGCGCTTCCCCAGGCTTTCTACGCGCTCCAAATATTGCGATGATGTTCAGAAAATCTCTAATTATATGTATTTTTTAATTTCGCTGAAAAAAAAAGTTATTTGTGCAAAACAAAGTAAAATCATAATCCAAACCGTGATGTTTTCTACTAGCGTGAACACTCGGCAATAACAAACCCGGCGCCATTTTTTCCCCTTTTCCGACGATTAGTTTTTACAAGGAAATGTTTGACCAACGTTCCATTAAACACTAAGCATGTCTGAATTGTTGACAAACGCATCCGAATACACGTACTGTATTTGACAAAAATGTACCATATTTTTATGGAAAAAAAACCATTAAGTTATAAAAATAATGTTTGATGTATACAAAGATTACGAAGTTCGCTATGAGACAAAATTAACATTATAAATTTTCGAGAAATTCGTTCTTTTTCATGTCTGCATGATATATTGGGTGAATTAATAGCAGTTAATGTACCTTGCTATGGTAGTATGAACTTAATACCTGTTTTTGGATAATTCACAGTGGCACAATAACACCTCCCATTGCTGGATACCTTGTGACAGCTTACGGCTACCGAAATGGATCTACGTTCATGTTCGCACTCCTTTCGCTTTGGGTAAGATTTTTTTCCATCTGATATAACCATTTGGAGATTAAGTTCAAAATTGCAGGCGCTGCTCAACTTGTTTCAGTCCTGTTTGAGTCCTTGTCAGTTCTTTGTATAATGACGGGTGACATCACCTGTTTAATATATATATATATATTAATATTGCAATATGTACCGTTAGTGCTGCGGCATTTTAGCTTGCTCTGTTGGGGAACCAAAGATGAATTAGAAACGTATGGGGTATCTTTTCGCGCTGCCAAAGCGCCGCGTCTTATTAATACTCCGCAATATTGTATTAATGCTGCGGCAAATGCTTTCTATTAGCTAATCTTGTTCAAGGAACGAAATTGGACAGTTGGATATTACAGCCCAGGGAATGTAGAAAGCACAGCAAGAACGCAATTTAAGTAGAAAATATACCTCAAAAACACACGCTGATATTTGTTTTCATAGAGCAAGCACAGAACTAATCACTGAAATACATACAGGGAGCTTGAAAAATCATGAGCTCGGAGTCACCATTGGGATTAAAACTTAAATCATATGTGACACAGAGCATGATGTTATCATGTCATGCTTCCTGGTAAAGCCGAAATTTTACTTTCCAGGGAGACGTTCGTTTTCGGTGCCATTATTAAAAAAAAATTGTTTATTGCACATTCCAGTAACTAATTTCAAGTAGTGTGTGGGAATACGGACGCACGCACGTTTTGAGCTTCTGCAGAACAGTAAGCTGCGATCGCAGGATAATATTTGGAAACATGCTGTTGTGCGTTTTATTCCCACGACGACGCTTTGTTTACGTCTGCTCTATTTGAAACCTACATAACGCTCAGGGCGAAATGGTTTATCAAATTAATTACTTTATTTTCAGACTCTTGTTCAAGCGGTTCTTCTGATCAGTTGTGCAATCCTCGCATCAAAAGCAGCAATCGGAAACGACCCTGAAAACGAACGGTTGTTAGCCGGGTATAATGAAATTCCCGGGGTGATCCAAAATACGGCAACGTCCGCCATCGAGTCACCGACATATTTATCAATTTCTGAATAAAACAAATAAACTAAGGGCGCTCTGCGTGTACATTGCAGATATGAATACGAAAAGGCATACAAGTTATTAACAATGAAGACACACGCTGAAGATTCGCTCTAAAACCTGTTCACATCATGCCTTGAACTAGCAAATGAAAGCTCATCTTTTCGCGCATCTTTTGTTTCCTACGATTAGACCTAGAGAAATTGCGTCGCGTGAATGACGGCCCTTGTCATATGTGACAGGTGCCCAGTTGTAACGTGAACTGCATACGTGACTAGAAGTTACACATGAAAAGAAAATAAATCGACCGTGTTTGGCGTGGACACTGAACGCGGACTCTTCCTTACTCCCAAATAAACCATTATCCCTGAGTAATGGTAATCATTTCTGAGAGCCGAAATCATATCTAAAAACATTTGAATTCATATCCAGATTAACTAAAGACCTCAAGCTTAACATCCATAACTTGTTCATGACCGTATTCCGGTGACTGAGACTTGAGTTTTGAGATGTTTGTCTGTTTGTTTCTTTGGTTTTTCTTCAGTCTCGGCTATTCTATTATGAAGCTACACCAGAGAACCTGATTTATTAATTTAGTTTAAATTACAGATATTGAACTTTCTCGAACTCCTTCCCTGTTCAGGTTAGTGCTTGTTAGAAGCTGCAGTGCAGATCCTCCAACCGATTTAGCGGAATCTTTGTGGGGATTCTTGTGATCTCCCTTCCCCAATGGCTGCGATAACTGCCGCGGCTTGGAACGCTCGGACTCATTCGCCGTGAGCTCCGACCTGTTCGTGAAGCGCAGAATCCTGTCTTGGACGGCCCTCCTATCACTCTTTCCCGGGGGGACCGCTTTCCGTTCCCCCACTCGGATGTGGAGCACTGCTGACAGGCGAAGAGTTTTCGTCTCTTGTTTTCCCGCTTTCGGGAGGGGGACTCGTCCGGTGACCGCGAAAGAGATAGGACGTGTATCGGCGCTTTCTCCGATGCTTCCCCGATCTTGGCTCTCCAGAACCCCGTGTGTGGCAGGTATGGACCTTTTCTTACCTTGCCGACGCGGGGGGCATTTTGGATAAGAACATTGTAGTATGCTCTTGGACTCTGTTCTTACTCTGGTACGTGTGCCCTCTCTTCCGCTATATTCGAGAGAGTGAGACAAAGTAGTCAATCATTGGCACCGAAAGAGGAAAATTATCGAACCGACCCGCGGTAATGTAGCCCTAAACGACGTCGAGATTGCCGCGGGGATGTGGGTACCGCGCTACTAGGTTTGGCGCCTCTTTGAGAACGCCGACGCTGTTGAGATAACCCTTTGGCTACTCTATAGGTACCTCTGTTGGTAGCTAATAGCCAATCCCACATTTTTTATTATTTTCTAAATTTACTTTTGCATACTAGACTTCTTTAAGATAGAGCCCATATGATGCAAAAATATATCGCGCTGAGTCCTTTTTTTTACGCATCTAGCCTTTTACCTTCTAAAAGTTGGTCCACTGGAACCCGGATTTATTGCCGCTTTAACGTTGCGACAGTACATGGGCTAGGATATATGTTCATGTTTCGTGCAAAGAATGTACGCTTTCGAACATGTCAAGAATGATCACGACAGATCTTGAAATATTCTAGCCATATTGAAGTAAAAAGGTTGCAAGCAGTCTCTAGATGGTTCTTTCTGGAAACCAGGGCACCATATGTGTACGCCGTCTTCGTTCAAGTTTATTCCAACAGTCACCCCTCGTCACTTGTCATTTCACGTCTCCCATATGTCGTAGAGATCGTACAAAAATGAACACAAAATTCTGCGACGTGTTTATTTCTTTTTTAATGTATTTAAGCGCTTCGGTTTTTCACAAAGCAATCATGCTGTAACACATTTCGGTGCGTAGCGGACCACGCTTGTACGTTCCCTACATCTGTTTGGTCACAGAGGTCGCGTGTCGTCTATGGTAATCTCATAGCCAACAGCTGTAAACGGTGCAGGTCCTGGTAAAAGCAGCATAATAATTACTTTAAATTCACAAGCAAGTGCATACAGTGACGTCTTGTTAATAAGGACTTCTCCGTCACCTCCCACTCCTTTGCCCCTGCCCCCCCCCCTCCCCTCCCACTGAGTTGTCCATAATGTAAGTGATATCTCGTTAATTTGGACATCTCCGATCACCCTCAAGTTGTGCATAACGTGATTTAATAACGAGAAAAATTATTGTAGGTGCATAGGTGTACTATGTAGCATAAATTTCTATAGAACTACGTGGGGGTGGCACTAAAGTCACAGGATCCTGGAAAAGTAGCGCCATTGTCTTCCCTGCCTGCTAGCTGGACACAAACAGATTCAGTCTACTAAATCCTCGCAAGGTCATAGGCTGATCGGTGTCCGTTGCCATGGCAGTTGCCATTTAGGCTCCTTAGTATCTTCGAAGAAGGGATGCAGGCTCACCTTCAACGATGCGGCAGCTGCCAAAAAACACCCTGACCGGTCGGGACGGGAAGTGGTCGAGGCCTTCTTCACACTGAGAAGCGACAACAATGTGAGCCACAAATCCCTTAATTTGAGCAGAAAGGAGGAAGGGTTTCTCGAGAACGAGATAGGGAGCGTCGGGGGGGGGGGGGGGGGGGGGGGAGGAGAGATGAGCGTGGCCTTGAGCCGGCAGTGGCGCTGTCAAGATCAAGCGTGCTATGCACACCGGAAGAGAGAATAAAGTTGTTGATATTTGAACGCTGTCCCTGTCTGACGTGTTTTTCTGTGTCCCTTGTCTCTTTTTGCGTTCGCATACCAAGATGTTTAACCAACACGCTCTCTTAATTCTATTTAGAGAAGGTTGTTCTAAATAAGTCGCACCAAGATCGCCATGGAGCATCATCGTACTGAAGGCGTTCCTAGCCATTATACTCTTCTTTGGCACTGTGTATGCATTCAACTTATCAATCACTCATATCTTTACAGATTTCTTACACTGGCATTGTTCTTCTTGCGTATAGGAAGAAAAGAAAATTATCTTTAAACTCACTGCATGTGGTGCGTATAGGAAGTATTCACTGGCGGCCATAGCTGTGTGGGCGACTGCTGAGTGCGTGCTGATGGCGAGCTTCCACAGTTCTTTTGAAACGTGCATTCCGCACCCTCAAGATTGCCGGTCTTAGCAGCCTATAATTGTGGGCTCGTTCTGAGCGTGCGCTCTAGACAGCACCCACAAATATGGCGCCCAGTGAATGCTCCTTATAGGAAGATGCAGACTTGTAGGTAATCCGTTACAAGTAACGAAATTACTTGTAATCCCTTACTTTTATCAGTAATTTAGTAACGGAATAATTACATATTTTCTAGAGTAATTTTAATGTAATACCGTTACATTTTTTACGTAACTGATTCCTTGTAATCCGTTACCTTTTTTTTTAGGAGCGACCCCCCCCCCCCCCTTCCCGTTCTAAAGGAAGGGTTGTTTTTTTTTGTTTTTCGGTAAAGTCGAGCGCAGTGACACTCAGGCGCAAAGGGAGGCTTGGCACCCTTGAGTTCCGCAAAGCCTTTTTTGTTTGCGACACCAAGCCCCTGAATCTATTTTTTGTAGACCGTAACAACAATGTAAAAAAAAGAAAACAATTAAACATTTCTACAAAAAAAAAACACGAAAAGAAGGGGGAGGGGGCGGCAAGTTATATCCGGTTTTTTTAGTCCTTTTTTTTTTGTGATCGAAAACGGGGAGAGAAGGACGCGAAGTGATTGTGTACCTCTTCGAAAAGCTCCAGACGGTAACTGCACAGACAAGATGTTCTTCTCGTTTATAATGACTACAACTATTTTCATTATGTCACAACACCAGACAACGCTCCGTATACCCTAAAATCCACGGAAAGAGCTGTGATACTAGGGAGTTTTCGTAGACTATGTTTCCCCCTCCACTAAGCCCGCCGCGACCAAGAAGTTCCTACTGCGCCTGCGCGCCGATAGCCTTAACTGTAGAGTTCCGGGTATCGTAGCGGGTTGCGGAGGAGGTTGCGGGACGGCGAAAACGATCTACGAAAACTCCCTAAGATGTGAAGGTGCTATTGCCAGAAGCATCCTCGTTCGTTGCCCCCCCCCCCCCCCCCCCCCCTGCACATTTATCATCTTCTCGAAAACAAGATGTCTTTTTTTTTTCTGTTTCTTTCACCTTTTTTTACCCGGTTTTAAAAGCTGCTTACTTTTTTTGTAGTCCAAAAATCTAGAGTTTGCCCGCTTTATTTGTGAATTCCAGCTAGGTTATCTGCGTCTCAGTCACCATTTTTGTGAGTCACCTTTTTGAGAGCACTTCGACAATGGTAATAGTCTTCCTTTCTTCCTCTTCCTGTTTTCTCCCCAGCAGGACGCATCTTATATAAAGCAGATATTTTTACAAATAAACACAATAGTGGCTGACGTAGACTTGATATCCTGGGCTTGAGGAGAGAGTGAAACTCGAGAGTGGGGCCATAGCGCGGCTCATTTAGTACTCTGCCCTTCGCTGCCCGTGGCATCAGCGGACGTCTATCTGGAGAACACCGGAGTAAACTGCAGTCGATTCGTGCTCCGTTCGTTTTTGGGCGGCACCAAGAAAGGTGCACACGGCAAACGTGCGTTTACATTGCATTTTTTTAACCGACCTTCTAATTAATTGTTGTTATGAGTGTCCCTTTTTTCGATTACTTATGTTTATTTACTGAAAACTTTTTTATTCACCAACGTCTCAACCGAGGCTCGACCTGTTCAGAACCAAAGGAAGAAGAATATCGAGCTAAAGCTTACTTACAATTTAATTATCACCTTACTGTTACAGCTATGTTTTGCTATTGTCTGGCAATATATGCCGGTATAGTAAGATGGACATAAATCAATTCTTATTCTAGTTTTGGCTATATGTATGATGACTTCTACAGCTTTGCGATTTCGAAAATGGAGAATTTTAGTCGATCGGTCCGATGACTCCATTAACGATACCCGATACTCCGCCGCCGCCTGTGCGCAAATGGAACCGGTTGCAACAATAAGAACTTGAATAACCCCCTTCCCTTTGTTTCTTAATTGAAGGCAATATTGTTGAAAGTAACGCCACCAAAGTAACGGATAACGCTTTGGGGTAACGGTCACTTACTTTCGTGGAAGGGTAATTGTAATTGTAATAAATTACAATTTAGCCTTGAGTAATTGTAAATGTAATTCCTTACTAGTTTTTAGTAAAGTGTACAAGTCTGGGAAGATGTACGCTTGTTTCGCCGGTGTGAGGATAGCAAAACCTCGGCATACAAGAAACATCTCCATACACCTATTTTTGCCGACTTCCGGTTGTGTCTCATCCGAGCACCCTGTTGCCTAAATGATTTCCGGTTTCGGAATGAACGTGTTCTTGTTTATAAGATTTTTCTCTTGTGTCAGAGTGCTTTCGGTGTTGCTGTGCGTAGGGGAATTCCACCTAAACGCCTTTCAATGTGCTTACCGATGCACCATCAGATCGTGAGAAGTTGTGAACCAAACCCCGAAAGTAATTTTGTTTTCTTTCCCGCGTGATGAACATCGTCGTCGTGCCCGTGGAACGTGGACGGCTATGCGAGCCTGTTTTATTGACAGAACGCAGCCGTTACAACGAAACGTAAAGTGCGAAATGAATTATCATTTCATCGACGAAATGGGACGCGGAGTCTGGCTGGCCAAGAAATTTTCATATGCACATCAAAGGTATTATTTATTTATTTATTCATTTGAAAATACTGTCAGCCCTCTCTTCAGGGCTATTACAGGGAGAGTATCCATCGTTGTGATGACACATAAAAAAAACAAAAAACGCAAGCATATGAAATTGTCAATCTAGCAGACACTGCTGTTCGAACAAGCAGGGACAACAATGCACAACCTTGGCCCTCTAAACAAATAAACAAATTGAACAAATTAACCCACATAATTATTACAAATTGCACACTTAAAGGACATCACTTTAAGCTCTCATTATGTTAACAGCTTTGCACTGGAATCTTCAAAGGAGGACACAGTTTCCAAATTTACATCATTGGGCAAGGAATTCCAAGCCTCAATAGTTTTTACAAAGGAAGACTCTCTAAAGGTATCTATTCGGCTTTTATAAGTTTGACATGTTTTTGTATGATTCAATCTACTTGATCGTTTTGAGCTGGATGGGAGAACGTACTTATTCGGGCTTAAATTTAGTTTGTCGTTGATCATTAAATAAAGCAATTTCAGACGTGCGACTTCTCGCCTTATATGCAGAGGTTCTATAGTACTAGCTCTGAGCATTTCCGTTGGGGATGCTGTCTGTCTGTAGTTAGAGTGAATAAAGCGCGCAGCTTGTCGCTGGACCTTTTCTAGCCTATCAATGTCTTTTTTTGTATAAGGATCCCAGACGACACTACCACATTCCAAGATGGGCCTAACGTATGTTTTATAAGCAACCGTCTTGATCTCTATAGTTGTATGTTTTAACTTGTGTCTCAAAAACAAAGCTTTTTATATGCCGATGTGCAGACGGTGTCAATATGCTTGGTCCAAGTTAGGTCTTTGGAAAACGAGACACCAAGGTACTTAAAGTGCTCTACATTGCTCAATTCTATGTCTCCAATGCAGTATTTAAATGGCAAAACGCTTCGTTTCTTAGTGATATGGCAATACACGGACTTTGTGTAGTTTATTTTCATATCCCATTTGTCACACCATTCTTTAATGCGTTTACGATATTCATTTAGGGAAGTTTGTCGATCGGAGTAATTAACAGCTGAGTAAATATTACAGTCATCGGCGAAGAGCTTTATATGAATGTCTGATGGAGTGCCATGTACTATGTCATTTATATATATTAAGAACAGCAACGGCCCCAAGACAGAACCTTGGGGCACGCCCGAGTAAACTGGAAGAAGGTTTGAGGCGTGGCCGTTAATTTCTACATACTGGGCTTCTATTAGTTAGATATGACTCTATTCATCCGGTAATCGTGTAGTGAATTCCGATTGTTTTAAGCTTTAATATTAGTTTCCTGTGAGGCACGCGATCAAAAGCTTTAGAAAAGTCTATACAAACAACATCAACCTGTTGTTTAACATTAAGTGTGGAAGCTATGTCATAGGTTACCTCAAACAGCTGTGTTATTGTCGAAAGTCCAGACCGGAACCCATGCTGATCGGAATAAAGCAACTTGTTAGTTTCAAGGCGATGAAATATGTGTTTTGCTATTATACGCTCCATGACTTTACATGCTACAGCTGTTAAAAATTGGCCTGTACCCAAGCAGCACAAGAAAGTGAATTTCGATCGGCCGACGGTTGGCCAGTGTCTGGACAGCTTGGCCACTTTAAGTGCTTGGCCACCGGAGACATAAACAAGGCCGGCAAGAGTCCGGCCACAAACTAGTTGTTTTTAGCTTGTCCGCCGGAGACATAAACACTGCCGGCAAGCGCCTGGCCAGAAGTGCTGATTTTCAGCCTGGCCGCCGGAGACATAAACACGGCCGGCAAGTGTTTGGCCAGCAGTGCTGATTTTCAACGCGGCCGCCGGGAACATAAACACGGCTGGCAAGTGTTTGGCCAGAAGTGCTGATTTTCAGTTTGGCCGCCGGAGACATAAACACGGCCGGCAAGT